ACTCCGTGTTGCCTAGACCACGGCCTTGCCCAACACAAGTTATAAATTTGGGCACCGCCGGGAATCGAACCCGAGACCCCAGGATTACAAGACCAGCGTTCTAACCGCTACACATCAGAGACTACTACATTTTAAATCTGCATCTTAAATTTAAGGTCATTTCCTCAGCCAGATTTTTTTCTGCTACCACTACAGTCTATAGGGGCATAGGCATCTTGAATAAAGATTGTAACATTTGCTGCTGATATTAGACAGCTTTCTAATCAAAATAATTGTTCTTTTTGCCTTATATCTTCTTTTTATTGTGTCGCATTCTTTCTTCTTCAATTTATTACTTGCCTGTAATTTGCTTTCCAGCCGTTGTCAAGTGCAGAGATAAATTAATTTAACTGAATTATTTATTATCGTGACTAAAAATTAAACTAGCTGACAAACTTCATGGAGGAGTGTGCTTGTTAAGAGGCTAATAGTTCCTCAGATAATCAATAAATTCTTCGCTTTTACGGAAGTGAAAGGTTAATTACAATATTAATAAGAGCCCACTATCAGATCCTATCCAGAGCTACATTAATCCAGTCCACACTTTCTAGTCCCATTTTTTTTTTCTAATTTTCATATTAATTTATCCTGTGACTATAACCAGGTCCTCCGTCTGGCCTCTTCACTTTAGACTTTTCCAAAGATTTCTAAATTTTATTCATCTCTTCCTGTGCAAACTACATGCCCCCTCAATCTGATCCTTAATTTGATCATCCTAACGATCCCTTTGCCACCAAGCCACTGTGTAATCGAAATATAAATGCATTTAATGTATTTTTATGCTACGAATCATTAATGTAAATGTGTAATCCTGTTGTTTCATTATCTATTGGCTCTGATTACGTTCTTGCACCGTCTCTGGTGTCTGCATTAATTCCTTGCTCTGATATCTAATGTATAGCTCAGCTACCTCACAGCTCAACGCAACAAAGGCGATTAATATGTAATATGTATAGGCGTTCTTCGGGCTTATGACGCGGATACATAAACGCGTTTGTATGTCGTCGGAGCAAAGGGACAAACATAAACATCTGCACCGAACTTGATGGCGTTGTACCTACCTGAAATATTTAAAGCAAAACGAGACAATCTGCGTATGTTACAGTATTAAAAGTAGACGGAAATTGAATCACGGTGTGTGTTTCGTAATTGGAGTTTTGGATTTTGATGGCTTAAAGCGGTGTTATAAATATTGACAAATAATTTGGCGTGTGGGTGACATCAGAATTGTAGGTTATTGTTACTGAAAAAGCGTTTTATCTCAGAAGTGAATCGCTGAAGTAATTAGTTTGCCCATATCTGTATTAGGATCATGGCGATGACTAGTACTCCCGTACCAGATTTCGAATGCCCTACGTTGGGCCCAAAATTACAGATGTTAAATTTAAATTAAGGAATAAAAGAAACCCTACAAAAAGTTGTCTTTGTGTTGATTAGGTACTTTTCATGTATGTGTGTAACAAACGTGTTACAAGGTAAAACTTCGTTTCATTCCGATGGAAACAAATGAACGCGACATTTGTTGCATTTATGCTAAATAATTTCCTAATCACAAATTATGTATCTATTATACTTTAACATAGCCACGGTGGTCTAGCGGATAGAACGCTGGCTGGCCTTGTAATCCTGGGGTCTCGTGTTCGATTCCCGGCGGTGCCCGAATTTATAACTTGTGTTGGGCAAGGCCGTGATCTAGGCAACACGGAGTTTTCCTCCGGGGGCTTCCCCGGTTTCTCCGTGGCATCCTAACAATTACTCCATTCACACACAGAAGAAGGCAATGGCAAACCACTTCTGGATCATCTGCCAAGAACGTATATGAACAGTCCCAGTCCGAGAAAAGGATGGAAGGATCCTGTTCATATGGACCTGTCGTCAGACAGAACACTAAATAAATAATAAAATAAAATATACTTTAACACCCATGTTGGCTTCATATTTACTTCATTAGCTGTTCAAAAATCTTTGTTTTGTAAATTTTACGATAGAACACGCAGCAGTGATTACAAATACATAACATGTAGGAAGTGGTTATATTTTTAAAAAGTAGCCTATACATTGGCGGAATGTTATCTTTGATATCAAGCAGCGGTTATGTTGTGCTGGTGATGTCGGTATTAGTAACAAAGATTGTAGCAGTGCTGGTGGTATTCATCAGGCGGACGCAGCAAATTTAAGACGATACATTGCAGATTCATACCCGATAACGGTGTCTGAGGGCCCGAGTTTGTATAGCTGATATAGTACAGCCTGTGTTAGATCTAGACAAAAATCCGTTCATTACATAACGAGCCTGTATCAACTGTGGAGGATATTTAGCGTCGATTAATACCCACTAATGATGGTGTACAGTGAACTGGAAAAGATATGAGAGCCGTCAGTCGTGGCCCATTTTATGCGATTCTGGTATTAAACTGAAATAATTAAGGAATATTCTCTCAATGTCAGCATTGCCGTTGTTAAACGAGATCCCTGAACGGGAAATCTCACGAATAAGATGTGGATCAAGCCATCCTGTAATATAAAATAGTTGTCGTGTTAATGTCATCGCAGGAAGGTCTAGTTGCTTACCGCGTTCTTTTCATGGGAACATAGGCACAGCACAATGAACTACTCGATCTCATTCTTCCTTCAGACGTTAACAGTCACTCGGTTACTGAATAGACTCCCGCTGTTATTGAACTCGAAGGTTAATTAACATATTCACAAGAGACCGTAAGTTGTCCCTATTCTGACACACGTCAGTTCAGCCCAGGATTTTGTATCCTATTTATTTGTGACGCATTTAATATTACATTCCCATTTACGCCTAAGTCTTCGCGTGATCTTTTATAGGTATAAAGCATAAAATAATTATTAACAGAACGCATCCAGTTAACTTTTAAGTGAATGGAAAGTGAATATATTATTAAAGAACAATTTGCTAGTAGAACCTCAAGTTTCAACACTGCTGTTTTATAGGACGGCCGGAGTCTGACACTGGACACGATTCTCACCCGGAGCAACCTTTCATAACATCACATCACAGGGTCTCCCTAAGACTCAGCTTTAAGTTACGCTGCGAACTCCGTTTTCCAACTAGTTTTTCGATCAAAATTCTGTATATTATAAATTTCTTTCTCTCTTATCCACGCCCGCATTTCACTCTCCTAATAATACCAGATTGCAGGTAATTTATAAACTATGAAGTTGTTTGTTATGTAAAAACCTAAAGTTCACCCTTCTTATCGTTCATAGGTCCAAATATTTTCCTCAGTTGTTCTAGTTTTTTCGCCACTAGGAGACGTAACTGTTTTCGATATACCATTTATAAAGAGTCAAATCAAGAAACATTTTCATTACCTACGAATAGGCTTTATCTGTGTGGTAAGGCAGACAGACCATGAATTTAGATATTTATAACGAGTTTGAATTCTATTTCTCTCCTGATGTCTTTTTTATCCACTTTCAAACGGAATTTTATATCACTAAAATCTAAGCGTCCTTATGGCTTTACTCGGAACTCTTGTTTCAATAGTTTGGTGTTCGGTGTGTACTGGATAATCAAGTATTCCTTTTACTGCTGGCAGAGTAGGAATTTGCGGTGACCCAAATCAGGATTTGTTATTACAGTTATTTGAGTTTTCTTTTTCCGATCCCCTTTCCCCTCTTATTTATTCGTATCATCAGAATCGCTGCTGTATTCATCATCATTGTAGGACTTCTTATTCCACTAGAAGCAATTTCATGAAAATATTATTTTCCCAATAAATTTTCCAATATTGGATATGTTCTGACGACAAAAAGATAACTATAACATCTGTAGATTATTTTGGTCACTATATTTCGAGATGCAACATGTCTCCGGTAACTTTACTTTTTAGATGCGACCGTAACTTACGAGGTGCGATCGAAAGGTTTCCAGACTGCCTGAATCTCTTCTATCGTCTCAAATCTCCTTCCCTTTAGCTGAATTTTCATCTTTGGGAAGAGGAAGAAGTCACACGGAGCTTAGAAAGGAAGTTGGGGTCGGTTCTTGCAAGATCTTTCAGCTCCTGACAAACGAGAAGTCGATTCTGCTTCTGGTCCTCAGACAGGAGCCTTGGCACAAACTTGGCTGCGATGCGTCGCATGTGGAGTTCTTCCTTTAGAATCAGCTGACAGGTCCCATAGCCTATCCCAAAAATGTCGCACAAGTCGTTGATGGTACGACGTCGATCTTCGTAACAGTTTCGGGCGTTGTGCTCGAAGATGGTCGTCCAGAACGCTCATCATCATCGACAGAGGTTCGGCCATTTTTAAAACGTGAATGCCACACAAAAGTTTGCGGACTCCCCAAATGCTTGCTTTAGCATTTCATAGGTTTCCGTAGCCGTTTTGGCAAGTCTTTGGCAATCACTATGAATGTAGGCCGCACCCCCTAGCGGCAGAAGCTCGTACTACATCCGGTTCGCCCTCTATTGACACAGTCTTGAAACTTTCCGATCGCACCTCGTAATGTTACAATGCTTAATAGCTTCGCCATTTTGGATATTTGTCCTGTGTTGAAAGGATTTTCATAAAATTTAACATTGAGGATTTTAGCTAAAATTTAGGTAGGATTTGATGCGTTTCTGCGTGCAGAAATGAGTCTGTGGGAAATCTGGAGTCAGTTAATTGTTCAATGTACCTTATTCGAAGTTCAGGTCTGATATTAATTTTTTTTATAAATTTACCCATTTTACGTACAAGAAAATTCGTTTGCCTGCATGTCATTCTATACGTAAAATGTGTGCCATTACTAGGAGTTGTTCCGTTAGTCGCTTCGCTCATCAATTCCACCGGAGTGCTCCCATTCCGGCCAATATTTCCTTTCATTCTTTCTTCCCTCGTTTCCTTATCTCTATTATCCCCCTTTCTTCCCCTCAGTTTAGGGATTTACCCACGTGTACACGTGATGAAGAGCACTTTTCAGTTAGTGACGTACCATTCCCTCTTTGCAGGAATTGTTGGCTGCAGTGGGAAAGAAGAATACTGCCAGACCACGAAGCTGCACAAGACCAATGATGAAAGTTTCTACCAAGAGTTGGCAGCGTGGCTTCTTCTCATCAAGTTGACTTAAATGAATACGATATCCACTCAAACTGTTTATTTTAGCCATTTGTGCAATCTGAACGTACGTTTTTTTTTCCGAGTTTTTAAATTGTTTTGAGTTCTTCGTAAGTTGTTCGGAGCTACATATTCAGTAACACCGTAGAGTGAGAAGTGTGACGCAAGATGGAAGCACGAGTCTGCTGTTACCACGTCGCACTGATCGTCCTTCTCCTGCTACAATGGGCGATTCCCGGTCTGTCACAAGTTGCCTGGACACCGATCTACGTAGATGGCAACAGTAAGTAAAATTCGCTTTTTCAATTATTTATGTATCATTCTGTGCGTTTCAGTTTCAACATATTTACTTAAATTAATTCAGCCAATCAAAAAATTCATCAGCATTTTAGAACCCAGGTTTCTTACGGCTTAATAACAACAAAATGCCCGTTACATTTTTCTCTTAAACTTTAGTTAAAAACATTTTCTTGCATTGATAAGTATGTTGCAAGTTGAGCCGAGATGCTCTCAGAAGACCAAGACAGTCCTCGTGTAAATAAAGTATCTGTCATTGTGGTCAGATTTTAACTAAATCCAATATGTAGGCCTTTTAAGAAATATTGTTGATAGTCCTTCATATCAAATTTAATTAACATCCGTTCAGTGGTGTGCATAATTCTAGAACTGAGTCGGGTCTCATGAAACGTCAAAGAAGGCCGCCAGTTTAAATGCCTCGTCTACTGTAAGTCCACGTTCAGACAAAATAACTTTTGGCTTCGAGCATACTACATGACGAAATGTGTTCTAATACGCTTCCAACTTCTTTCCCAAAGAACTAAATAAACATGAATATTTAAATACAGGAATACCTCGGATATATTGCGGGTTCGGTTCTAGACCACCGCAATAAAGTGAGTCACGCGAATGTTTTGGTTTCCCAGTGCATATAAAAGTTATGTTTACACTATACTGTAGTCTATTAAGTGTGCAATAGCATTTTCTCTAAAGAAAACATTGCGAGAACTACCAAAATGTGACTCAGAGATACGAAGTGGTCACATGCTGTTGGAAAAATGACGCCGATAGACTTGCTCGACGCAGGGTTGCCACAATTTGTTAAAAAAAAAAAAAGCGCAATATCTGCGAAGCGCAATAAAACGAGGTATGCCTGTATAAAGTTCAGGGTAATATTGTTTTCCAGCACACTTTGCGCGCTTACCAAAAATCACACTTTTGTGTAAAATTTTATTTACGTGCATTTGACATTTTAGTCCTCAGCATCAAATCGTGTCCTATTTACTTCTTTACGGAAACTTTGTAAGTAGAAACAACAAGGACTTCTTCGGTTTCGTGAGAGTTTCGCATTGGAGCAACGGAATTTTTCTACGAATCTCGATTCGACATTTTCTAGAATTCCGAGGCATCTCGGCAGGGAAACAAACTCGTGGGTTCGTTTGGTCCATTCAGACACAAAAATTTCAATTTCTGCTTCACCTCCATCCCTCGAACTCTGTGATAATTTGGATTTATGTTCTGATGATAAGTTTAAAGGTGTGTGTGTGTTCAGTGTACAATTTTTTTTATACGCAAGGTTCTGTGTTGAAAACAATTTCCAGTTTATAAAAGAATTATTACAAGAACTTCCTCCAGAAATTGACAGACTTGTTACAAGAAAACGTGAAAAAATTTTGAAAATAATATTAACTAAAACCCAGAGCGAGCGGGAATAAGCTAAGTAAGTTTTGCATTTGCTAAGCTTTTTAAATTGATGTACAGCTAAATTAACAATTTATTTTGTTGTATTTATTTGAAGACATCTTATGTTTCTATGGTGGCGTATTTATCTTCTTTAGAACTTCCGTTCATATTCTCAAATACGAAGTAAATGCACGTCAGAGAACCACTGCTTTTAAACGAAGTATTTCGCGCATACCATTGACAGAGTTAACAAAAAATAATAACTACATTCCGGTACCTGTACCAGCTTCCCTCCTCTGTTTTATTTATTAAATTGACTTAATTAGTCAAATAAATTCATGTGCTGTTTGGCACAGGCCTCTAGTAAAGAATTCTCTATCTGTAACACAGAACTACAGCATTGGTCAGAGGATGGGGCATCATTGGCTTCTGTCGACCGTCGCTTTATTTTCTCTGTGATTTGTAGTTGGCCCGCGTGATGTCGCAGCTGAACATTTCACCAGGAAGGATGTCACGTGGGGAAGACGGGTGGGGTGAGAGATGAAGGGGTAGATTTTACTGTCAGAAGAGATACATACACACAATTTTGAACAGTAAATGGGTACAAAAGAAATAAAATATTTACTCTGGAAAAAAGATGGTGTATGATAATCTCGGAAACAAAAGACAGTCGTTTATGAGACAAGAAAAGTATAGAATACAAGGGAGATGCAATGTGGTACTATGGAAAAAGGATGTTGGGTTAATAGAGAAATATATGTCACCGAAAAAGTTATTTCCCCTGGAAGCATTTTATAATATATTTCATGACGTAATGTAACAGGTCGTATTATGTCGTGAACGTGCACACTGATGTAAGACAATCTGTTTTATTCTTGGTACAGCAGTTTGCATTGTTGCTTGTCAGTAAAAAATATGAACGTAGCATGAAAAACTAATTTCAAAGTCAGCATTCCAGGGAGATGTGATCTCAGCTCATGGGGGAGTAAAACATATTCAGATAAAAACACCTATTGTTTTATAGACTTGCGTCCAGGATTCCGTGTAAATGTGTGTTTGTGTTTTTGTTTCTGTAGAAGGAAACATAGAAATATTATGTCCGTAATGTAATCCTCGTCCAAGGAGTCCTACCGAATGTCTATACGAGGTGCGATCGGAAAGTTTCAAGACTGCGCGTATAAAAACCCGTACACTTATCTCAGGTATTAAATTCATCCATCACCCTCGAAGTAGTTCCCCTGGGAGTGAACACAACGATCCCAGCGCCGCTGCTAAGCCTGGAAGCATCCCTGGAAATCTTTCTTTCCGATCGCACCTCGTAGATCAAGTCAACGAAAAGTTAGGACCCGCAGTGCTCAGGCACTTGAAGAACGGGTCGTTCCCAGTATCCCAGTAATGTAATATCTTTCTTTGTTTTAAGACGAAAGCCTATGGCATTAACATCGCTCATGACAGTTAATAGAATGTGCCTTGAAATGTACAAGGAACATTTGCACACATCTTAAAATAATCTTCACGCATCTTCCATTGTTTCATTTAATTAATCCGAGTGTAGTTAATAAGTGTTAATTAATGCGAATTTACGCAATGGCTTTGGTTTAAAGTTCTTTCCATGAGACCACTGCTACTTCCAAAGAGATTCTCTTCTTTTTTTAAAGACCTGTCTGAACAAACATGAAATCAAATAAACTGGAGTACGTACGAAGGGAAGAAAGTTTTCGTGTTAAACAAATGGCGTCGAAAAGTACACATTGAAAGGACGCTGATTTACAGACGTTCATATGCAAAGAAACGTATCATATTTTCTAACACGCCAGATTCAATTCCCTAAACATTTATTTCGATGACAACTCGTCTGTAAGATGTGCTTTTTTCCAAAGAGGCCATGGTCGGCGTTCTTTATGGATTCAAGTGCGTTATGTAGGATGCGAATATTTTTTGGATGAATCTCAGTCCCGAAATTAATTTTCATTAAAAACTGAAATCTTTCTATTCCTTCTCATCTCACTACAATTCATCACATTTTACTGGCGAGTAAACAAGAGTTTGTTTGTTTGTTGTAGTTTTTATTTACCATCTGCAGTGATTAAACAACTTATTAACGTTAGAATTTTCGACTGCAAATCAGAAAATATGAGAGAGGTGCTGTGACAGGCCTGAACACGTGTTCTGGCTAGAAATAAAGTAGCAATTATATTAACCTACAAGAATCATTAAATATTCAAGGCTGTGAAGAAAGTCTTTAACCTTTCCTGAGGTGTAGTAAGAAATATTCTTATTATGGTACAATGTCTGAAGCATATTTTTGATTAAACGACGTTTTGGGAGTTTTAGGAGGTGAAAGTTTACACCTGTATGTAATAGAAACGAAATTGTAAAATAAATTTTTGTGCCATCATTTGTTATGCTGTATTGTATGAAACCAAAATTTTAGATTGACTATTTATGACGAATATAGGCCTATTTCAGATTGCATAAATTTATAATGGCCGAGAAAACCTATGGGTCTTATTTGCTGGTTACTTAGCGACAATGCCAGTAGCTTATATCGTGCAGTGTCCAATAAAAAATTGTTTTAGTAAATAACAGGAGAGAGTTTGGTAGGAAGCGAGCGAGATCATTTGCGTCATATATAACTATCACTGGGTGAAAGCCGTCTGAGTTTGGGTTATACGTATTTATGTGAAGGTACATAGCCTTTCAACCCCAACAAATAAAGGCAATGTTATAAATGGTTTTGCACATTAAAATTGGCTAAAATCCATAAAAGTTTGTTAAATGTGTGGTTGGATACGAAATGTGTAAAGAATTAATTTTTTAGAACTGATAATTGTAAAAGGCCAAAACAACGAATTCCTTCTCACTTTTTTATATATATTGGCGTGATTATTAAACGCTTTTTTGTTCGGAAGACACAGGTTATTTCGTTCTAATGAGTAATTATTTTAGGCGTACTGCCCATTTGCTTGGTCACCAATATCTCCGTTTAAAATAAAATTAATACGACTCCTGTAATTGCCTTGATCAAAGTAGTTTGTAGCTTACTGAATCACCAAAGGAATATACGCGTTATATCATCCTTTACGAAATCGCCACGAATTTCGTCAACTGTAGAATCACTTTCTCTTATCTTCTGGTCATGTCCTCCTGAAGCATTCGCCTATGGAAACGCTGTCAACAACATCTGTTAATGGACCTGAGAACGAAAACTTGTTTATCGGTTTCTCCGTGCCAATAACGGTCCCAGTGTGTCAATATTGTTAAGTAGACTGACAAATGTTCGTCGCTGTGAACGTATTTCTGTGATAAAGCTCTTTGTGGTTACTGAATACCACAACCCTGTTCACTTTGTCCGTTTTCGTTTTGAAGTTATTGACATTTGTAATGGACGAAGGATATTTGATATGAGATTGCTATCAAATCAAGCCACAGAGGATTGATTTGAGGGCTGATTCAGTTAGCTCATCAAACGGACAAGTGACGGTTTGTGATGGCCCTGTGTTTTTCATATTGTCTGTCATATTGACAGTCAAAAGTGAAGGCTTAATTTTTTGTGTACGCTTTGTACAGTGTCTTTCGGGATTTAATTACAATAAAAATTAA